CTAAGAACATTCCACCCAGTGAGGAATGTTAGAGACTCTTAAGCTACTATTGGTTCAAACAAAGGATATGGTTATCAATCCACACAAGTAAAGAACATGAATTTGTCATTAACTTACCAAGATGCCATTTCTAAACTAGAAACATACTTTTTTCTTCCACATCCTTCACTTGAGATAAAGCATTAGAGAAAACAACATCATTATGTGATTTCCATATTAATAACACAATTGAATTCCAAATCAAGGCAAATATTCCTTTAATTTTATACAACCACCCAAAAAAATAGCCATTTCAATAAGAGACAATGGATCCATAGGTAGGATAAAAACACACCACAACCACCTAGAGATACTACACCACACAAATAAAGCCACATCATAGGTCATAAATAGGAGGAAAACCTACTTAACAACCCCCAGAGACATCGAAAGAGACACGATCCGTATCAAGATAGACCTTTCGCCTAAATAAGTTCTCTCTAGTAGATATCTTATCTTGGAGAAGTTGCCAGGAAAAAAAACTTTTTGAGGAGCCCAAATATCCCAAGTGAGATGTCAAATTGCAACTACCTTTTATCCTGTAACCACTTTGTTGACAAGAAAATTAGAGGGAAAGTTTTGCACTAAGAGGTCAGAGTGCATTAAATTAACCAGAAACAACCCATCACCCGCATGACACCAACAATACCACTACCAATCACTCTCTAGGAAGAGGGCTATATCATGAAGTATCACACGAAGATTAAAAACTAGTTCATTTTCATACACAAAAGAGTTCTCCTCCATCTAAGATCCCAAACCAAAACCGTGTACACCGACCGACCAACCTCACTAACGAACACACCCTATATATTGATTCGAGATACTAAATATCCTAGTGAAACCAAGACTAAGAGGGATGGACACCCATCCAAGGATCATCTCAAAAATAGGTGAGGAGACTCAATCCCATTTTCTTCCTAAGACTCTTGGAAAATGAATTATATGAGGCATTTGCTTTAAAACATAAAAGAAATGTATATTTCCACTAAGTAGAAGAAGAATAGAAATAATAAAATCTCCCTTAAGTAGGAGGAAACATTATTGCCTCCATATCTAGCAATAAGGATATTACACTAGAGACCTAACACACATGAGACTAACCTCCGCCTACATTTACCTAGCAACTCCAAGTTAACTAGGCGGAGGTATTGAACACTAAGGTCACCTATCTTCTTAGGTTTGCAAGCATTCGACCAATAACTCCAGAGATCTTGGCTCACCTTTCACCCCACCTTAAGGAAACCTTGTTTGAATTCTCAATAGCTTCTTCCAAACCTTAACAAGAATCTTAAGAAAAGACAAGAAAAATACATAAATATCATTAAGAACCAAATTGAGTATGATTACCCTCCCCCAAATGAGCATATTTATGTCTCCGCGAGTGTAACCTCCTAAAGATAAGAGTAACTAATGACTCTCATACAAATTAAAGGATATGGTTAACCCCCACCAGTAAGCCAATGTACTTAAGCAGGATAGTTTATTGCTTACAGTGAAGAAAATCCACAACTAAGTCTAAAAATCCAAGATCCACATTGCCCATATGAGACTACTTTTAGACAAAATGAGCCAAAGACCTAAGGGAATAACTTTAATCAACTAGAGATTCTCCACCGATGCATCATCCAAGATAAGCGTATCATCCGCATATTGAAGATGGAAGAACACCAACCCCAAAATATCCAACCTAAAATCAAAGAAAATATCCAGATCCATAAGCCTCATAATCAACCCACTCAAACCTTCTACCACAAGCAGAAAGAGAAAAAAAAAGCTAAGGGATCGCCTTGCTTTAACCTTATTTGAATTATAATATCTCAGGACGAACGACCATTAACCATCACTAAAAGATTCACTCCAAATACATAAGCTTGAATCCAAGATCTCCATTTAACTTCAAAACCTAAATTGATAAGCATGTAATCTAGAAAACTTCAACTAACTAAATAATATGCCTTTTCAAAGTCCACCTAAAAAATGAGACAAGCTTTCCTAGTTCTCTTAGCCAAATCAACCAACTCATTAACAAAAACCACCCCATCAACCAATAAGTTTCTCTTAAGAAAGGCAAATTAATTAGAGGAAACAAGTTTGTCCATCAAATTCGTTAGTCTGGCCACCAAAACTTTAGTGACAATTTTATACAGAGGATCCACCAGCAAAATCAGCCTAAAATCTTCCACATGAAATTAGGGATTGAACTTTAGTGATTAAGGTAACAAAGTAAGAGGAAAACTATGGATAGAGGAGAAGAAATGAAATTTCTCAAACATCACACCACAATCCTTCCTCAGAAGGGGCCAAAATCTCCTAAAAAGGAGAAATTAAAACCATCATGCCCATGGCTCTTATTCTCATCACAAAGAGAAACCACTCAGTCAATCTCAGAAAGAAGGAAATAAGCTGAAAAATGATATTATCCTCTACTGAAAGGGATAAAAAACAACACCATCAAATTAAGGACAACCAACCAGAAGTTCTCTGAAGTAATTAGAAAAATAACTAACCACCTCCTGGCGAATCTCAAACACCCATTCAACCAACCCATCACCAACCTTAAGAGATAAAATAGCTTTCTGCCTACTCTTAATCTTAATGTATACATGAAAAAACCCATGTTTGCATCTCATTCCTCGAGCCATTTGACTTTAGACCTTTAATAAATATGGGAGTCTTTGATCCTAAACAATGACCATATATTTGCCATGTCTCTCAACCTTGTAGAGATATACTCACATGAGAGAATATTGTGGTTAGCTTTAGACTCCAATGTACTCGCCTCCTCTCTCAAAGGAGAAAATTGGAAAAGGTTTCCAAACACTTGCATATTCTAAACTTCGAAGGAACCTTTAAGAGATTTAAGTTTCTCCTTAAGAACAAAAGCTTTCCAACCAGAGGACTAGGAGCTAATCCATCTAGAGTGAACCACATCATCCAGGTGTCTATGAGAAAGGACATGGTCAATAAATATAAATGGTTTAGGGTCCTACAACTGATGGATAATACCTAAGAATAACCGAGCAATGATCAAAAATATCTCTAAGAATAGTCCATTTAAAAATCATCCCTTAAAAGTCTCGCCACCCTTCACACATTAGGGTCCTATCATGCCTACTAACACCTCCATTAAGCTAGAACCAAATAAAACTTCCACCTAACAAGGGATGGTCAATAAAACCCATATGGGATATAGATCTATTAAAGGCTAGATAGTTAGCACTCTAATAGAGACAAAAAAGGTCATCTAACTCTACCCTCTCACTAAAGGAACAAGCATAATTAAAGTCATCTGTAACACACCAAACCTCATCCTTAAGGTTGGATCTACGAAGTATAAGGTCAACCCACATAATCCACTTCTAGGTTAAAGCACACTTAGAGTAAAAATTAACCACAAAGCACATCAGCCTAGAAGCTTTCCACTCAACGAAAACACCAAGATAACTAATGACAGAGAACAAAAAAAAATATCAGTTTCCTTATCACTAACGAGGTCGAAAGAAGTCCACCACTACTATCAACTGCTGGGAGAAAACTATATTCACAAAAAGAATTACCTAATAAAGAATGAACAAGAGAGACAAAAATCTTATTAAATTCAGTCACATGTATTGTTGCAAAATCTTCCATTAACAAACATTAAATGATCCTATCAGCATCAAACATAATCACTAGATGCCCTAACAGACTTTTGCCATCTGTCTCTTTTTTCTATACCAATTAACCTATCAAATAAGAGTAATGATATTCCTACACCAAACTGATCACCGTATTTATAGGGTGAACAATATTTTTTTCTTAATAAAAATTATTTATTTTAAAATTAATTTTTAACACAAATATAATATTTTGTTATTAACTAATTTTATTATTGCATTGATCACAAAAGTATATGTTATTAACCACATATACATATTTGACTAATAGATCACTAATCAACTTTACTATTTCATTAATCAATAAATACATAATATTAACTGAAGTCTGGTATTAGTTTATAATTTGGTTAATGGATTTTTTAAATTAAAAAAATAGTAAAATAAAATTGATAAACATTATGTAAATACTAGTTTACAAAGCTAATAATAACCAATTTTATTTTACTATTTAATTTTTTAATTTGAAAATTCATTAACTTAATTATAAATTAATATTAAATTTTGGTTAATATTATGTATTTTATTGGTTAATAAAATTGTAAAGTTGGTTAATATTAACCAATTTTATAAACTAGTAATGATCTGTTAATAAAAGATCATATATTTGTGTTATGAAATTAATTTAAAAAGTGTATATTTTATAAATATTTTTTGTTTAAAAATATCATTTTATAATTATTTTTGTGATATATATTTTTGTGATTAATACACTAATAAAATTGGTTAATAAAAGATATTATATTTATGTTATAAAATTAATTTTAAAAAGTATATATTTTATAAATAATATTTTTGTTTAAAAAAGATCATTTTATAAATATTTTTTTATTTATAAAAAAAGATATAGGTAAATAGTAATGGATGTTAGTATTGGTGTAGGAAATGGTTGTAGGAATATTGAGTTGATAAAAAAGCTGGATTCAGATAGATGCAACTCTCAAATAATGAAAAGAATAGAACAACAACCATGATTTATGGCTGATATTACATCAATATCAGCTGGTTTATTGGCTTCTGTCGTTATAAACATAACATTGCAATTAATATTCATCCTTATGACAAATGGCTTATTACGGACCAGATCAGAAATTTTTGCAGGATCGGTTATTTGAATAAACACCTTCAAGTTTAACTAAACAAGTAACAATTTATTTACCTTGATCTAATTTAAAGCATCACTAAAACATATATCATTAGCAAATATATCCTCATAATACATCAAAATACGTTAATATATGAAGAAACATATCGATTCTTTTCTTTCCTATCTTGATAGTTTTTTCTATCTCACATATTGGTTCAAGGACAAAATGTGATGGAATAGTTTGCCCCACCAGAGCATGTAAAAGTACTAGTTTTATCATCATAAGCATAGCTATAAGCTTGAGGACATTGATCCTTAAAAATCTTTGAATAACTATTTGATGGACACTTATCAGGTGTAGAAAAATCTCCACTACAGCAATACTCAGGTTTGTTCAAAGCCAGACAAGCACTCTTGCACGCAATCACACTTCCATCTGAACCCTTAACCGAAAAATCCGGAGGACAAACATGGTTCACATCATTAGGGCAACTACTTGCTTTGCAATCCCCCGAACCACCTTGTGGCGTTACCGAAACCGGTAGGTTGAAGCCATCAACAAGGCTAACATCGTAGAAATCTTGTCCATTGTTTGCTGCAAGAGTGAATTCAACTAGTGAAACTGGAGGAGTTCCACCAGCATTATTGCATGCTACTTGACCAGATGCACAATCACCGGTAGCACAGACGAATTTGCCCGATGCGTCGGTTGAACATTGAGATCTGGCCCAGAATCTACCTGACCATGGTGATGAGATGCTGAGAGTGGTTGAAGCTTTGGATGATAGCTCAAAACCAGTTGAAAAGGATTGTGAGCTTCCTCCTCCAGTGAGTGTGGCTGGCCATATGGTGAATGGACAATTGTTTGTAACTGTGAATGTTGCTGAGTTAGCACCTGCATCGATCCACGAAAATTTGTTAATTATAGTTGATATTTTCTCTTCTAAATCCAACATTTTGTGGATTTATAAGCAACATGAAACTTGTACCTAACAACGAAGATTAGAGCTTAATTACCTGATAGGAAAAGGGTTGATAAGACCAGCGTAAAGAGTATACCAACTTCCATTGGTGAATTATTTTGATTTGCTACTTGGTTGATATTGTGCAATGTTTGAAGTTTAATTCAATATGTATGTATTTATAGCATATTTGGGAGATATTGTGCCGTGAATTATTTTTATTTTTTTATGTTAGAGATTCTGTGGTCATTAAATATTATTATTGTTCTTTATGGTAGAATATATGTATAATAATGGTTATCCGTCTTGCGTGCTCTAAATTTTTAAGCATGTCAATATTTATATTGTTGACTTTATTTTCCTTCCAAATGTATAGAATTTTTTTAGAAACAATGTTTTACAAAGATTTGAGTTTTTTAAAAATTGAATATATATATATGCTTTATCTCAATTTATGGTTTTACATTTGATTTGATTTGATTAAATAAAATTAAAATTTAAAAAAGTTCATAGTTAATTATTCTTAAATACAATTTCAAAGTTTTGATATCAAAAATATATACTTGATTAATTATAAACATACTTCTTTATCATATTTTTATTTGATTTAATTTAACTTTGTTTTTACGTGTACGTGAATCTTGTGAAAATAAGAATTTATAAATGTGATAAGTTTTGTAGATTTTTTTTTAATATAACATTGTTTTTTAAATAAAATACGAAATAAAATAAATTTTCAAAAAAATTATATTAAATAGACTTTTATTTAATATAATTTTCGATCATATAGCAAATAATTTTAATAGAATTTTAAAAACAAATATTAAAAATTAAAATTAAAAAAAAAACAAAAAAAAACTCCTACATGAGATGCGCCATATGATATGGCGACTCAATGTAGGATACCCTAACCCATGCGCCATATGAAATGGCGAATCAGGTCATCCAGACTTGAGTAGCCATTTCATATGGCGACTCCTCTGCAAAATATGACTGTTTCTGTCAGTGTTTTAAAAACCGGACCGGTCATCGAACCGGTGAGGGTACTGGGTCACTGATTTATCGGTTGAACCACTGGGTCACTGGTCGAACCGCATGACTAAATCGGATTAAACCGGATAATTCGGTTGAATAGACCTGTCATTATATAGATATAAAACCGGTCGAACCGGATGATTCAAATTCTAAAAAAATATAACTAGTACTTAAATTTTTTGAAAATATTATATCATAAATTCACAAGTACATAATTTAAATTTAAATTTTAAATAAATGTATCACACATAATAAAATAATACAAAATTACAAAATAATTGTAGCATAATCTAATTTTAAACAATTTTTTTTTTAATTTTTATAACTTTTGCATTTAAATTTTAATTAAAAAATAAAAAATGCATTAGAACCGGTCCAACCCTAAACTCGGTTTTTCCCGGTCCAACCCGATTCACAAGTACATAATTTAAATTTAAATTTTAAACAAATGTATCACACATAATAAAATAATACAAAATTACAAAATAATTGTAGCATAATCTAATTTTAAACAATTTTTTTTTTAATTTTTATAACTTTTGCATTTAAATTTTAATTAAAAAATAAAAAATGCATTAGAACCGGTCCAACCCTAAACTCGATTTTTACCGGTTTAATGACACAGACGATCGAACTACTAAACCAGACCGGTTACTAGGCCGGTTCCCGGTTCGACCGGTCCGACCGGCCGGTCCGGTCCGGTTTTTAAAACACTGGTTTCTGTAATTTTTTTGAAATTTTATTTTATTTTGTATTTTATTTGAAAAACAAATGTGATCTGACCTGATCAGGAGGGGATCACGGGATGGCCACGCTCCGTTAGGCTGCTTCCTGTTCACCGGTGTTGAGGATGAGGAGGGGGTGTACCTGCAAGGCACTCCGATGCCAAAGTCAGAATTTGGGCAGAGTGAGAGCAAGAACAGAAAGTTAGAAGAGGTGAAAATTACCTGGCCCTCTTGGGGAAGAGGGTATTTATAGAGAGACCCCAGCGCTGGGCCAACGGTCATTCGAGGTGGGCTGGATGACCAGGCCCAACCCTAATGACTGCTAGGGCTTACGTGGCGTAGTGAAGACCAGGACGTGGTCTTCGCCCTAGTTCAACCGCTCCTAGATCTCCGGAGAGTGGGTTTGACCTGCTCTTTCGGAGGTGGGCAGTTGGCCGGTGACGTGTCCCCGCGGAGGGGAGCACGTGGAGAACGTGCGCCGAGCACGTTATTCTCCCCGCGGAGGGGAGGTTCTGCCCTGACGGGATGGGCACAGGCTCTGCCCGACAGGATGGGCACAGGTTCTGCCCGTCAGGATGGGCACCTGCCTGGCGGGAGGAGGTTCTGCCCTGACGGGATGGGCACAGGTTCTGCCCGACAGGATGGGCACAGGTTCTGCTCGTCAGGATGGGCACCTGCCTGACGGGAGGAGGTTCTGCCCTGACGGGCTGGGCATAGGTTCTGCTCGTCAGGAGGGCACAGGTTCTGCTCGTCAGGATGGGCACCTGCCTGACGGGAGGAGGTTCTGCCCTGACGGGCTGGGCATAGGTTCTGCTCGTCAGGAGGGCACAGGTTCTGCTCGTCAGGATGGGCACCTGCCTGACGGGAGGAGGTTCTGCCCTGACGGGATGGGCACAGGTTCTGCTCGTCAGGATGGGCACAGGTTCTGCTCGTCAGGATGGGCACCTGCCTGACGGGAGGGGGTTCTGCCCTGACGGGATGGGCACAGGTTCTGCTCGTCAGGAGGGCACAGGTTCTGCCCACGGGATGGGCACCTGCCTGACGGGAGGAGGTTCTGCCCATTGGTCCCTGCTCATCAGTGTGGTCCAATTGGGCCCAACCTCAGTGGAATTTTGGGCCTTCTCGATTGTGGGCTAAGCCTCGGCCCAGTCCAGAACAAAATGTTATATTAAAAAAAATTCAAGTTTTGATTAAGATTTTGATTGTTTTCGACTCAAATATTTATTATAAAAGTATTTCTTATTTGTTAGAAATATTTGTCAAAAATTAAAATCTTACTATATAAAAAGGTAATTTGCAAGAATTTTGATTTAGATTTTTATTGTTTTTAAGTCAAATATTTATTACAAAAATAATCCTTACTTGTTAGAGATATTTGTCACTGATTAAGGGTCTTTTTAGTGTACATGATATGATAGAGTTAGGGGTGGCAAACCGGGCCGGACTCGTCGGGTCGGCCCGTTTGACTCGCCATTTTTGGCGGGCTGCACTAAGGTTTTCGACTTGGTACTTTAAGTTGACCCATTCTGCCTAACCTACTTGAAAAAGTGGGCCGAGGCAGGACGAGTTTGCCCACATGCTTTTTGTTAAAAAAAATTATTTTTTTACTTAGAATTAAAACAATTTTAACTATAAAACAACACTCTTCTCTTAAGTTTATGTTGATTGAATTGTATTATAAATTATTATACAAATAAAATGAATTATAATTGTAACGTTCTTTCTAAAACTTTCTAATATATGTGTTGATTGGAAAAACTTAAAATAAAAGAACAATGGTATATGTCATGCTGAATTATTAAGTTGTCAAACATTAACTCACATGTTTTCTTTAGAAATAGATGTTGATTTTAAGAAAATGAATGATTTGATTTATGTATATGTGTCAAAAATTTAGGATTTAACTATTAAAGAATCCGTCAATATAAAAATTTATATGATGTAAATAGTGAGAAAGTCAGGTATTAATATTTTATGCACTATGATATTTTATGCAATGTAATTGTTATCATTGTTTGTCTTTTGTAAATTCTTAATTGGATTCTTTTATATATTGTTAGTTTTTAAATAGGATTAGGGTGATATATATTGTTTATTTATTTTGATATGTTTTTATTGTGCTTGAGTTTATTTTATTTTGTTTTTTTGTAATTAGTCTTTATTTATTTTGTTTTTTGAACTGTTTGAACTTAAGACATGTTAAGTTCTATGATGCCTTCTTAAAAAATCCTTTGTCGACCTCTTTGGTAATAAATAATTTTTTTTGTAAATTATGTAGTAAATCAAATTGTAAAATAAAAAATTAACGAGTCGGCCCGCCAACTCGTTAGTAAACGGGACGAGTTTAACTTTTGAGCTCGGAAGCCTAAGTTGACCCGCCCTGCCCCGTTTTTGGACAAGTTTAAACGGGATGGACTTCTACTCTGCCACCCCTAGACATGATAAGACTTATTCTATCATGTGTTTGTTTCACACATAATACCAAATCTAATAACATTATATATATATATATATATATATATATATATATATATATATATATATATATATATATATATATATATGTGTGTGTGTGTGTGTGTGTGTGTGTGTGTGTGTGTGTGTGTGTGTGTGTGTGTGTGTGTGTGTGTGTGTGTGTGTGTGTGTGTGTGTGTGTGTGTGTGTGTCATATAACAAATTTACCTACATAAAATAACTACATTTTTTAAAAATTATTTTTTAAAATATTTTAAAATTTATAAATTGATAAAAAAAAAGAATAATTTTATATAATTTAAAAAATAAAAATAAAAATCTCATATGACACTCCCGAGTAAAGAAGTTCAATTTTGTATAATAAGTCATGAATTCTATTATACATATTAAATAAACAATTAAAAATATGTATATATAATATGTAAAGGACAAAACTATCCTTGTAAGAAGATATAATTAATTTGATAAAAAAACTAAAATTAGTATTCATATTTTTAAAATTGTACTAAATATTTTATTTTTAATACTTCTAAATTGATAAGTTTTATATTTTTATATTGTATAAAGTTATAAAATTACTCTTATGTCAAAATCATGCATATTTTTTAAAAATTATTTATTGATATTTTTTATTTGAATATCAAATTAATCATTATTTATATTTTATCTTATTTAACTTTTTATTTTAAATTATATTTTATAAGAATAAATTTGTAAATTACATTCTTATCCTATTCTGTCAGTTTCTAAATTAGCTCATATTTAAAATAAAATTTAAACTAATGAGATAAAATATGATAAATTTCAAGATTAACTTATCATATTTTGTGTTATCAAACAATTGAGATAGAATATGATATAGATATCTTATTTTATCTCTTATCATGCATACCAAATCAGCCATAAAATCTTAATATATAAAAGTTAATATGCAAGAATTTTTCCCTAAAAAGAAGGGAAAATAAACATTGTAATAAATTGTTAATCTAAAGTATCAATAATATTTTAATTTATAATTAAAATCAATTTTATTACACATTCTTATTTTATTTTAATTTTTAATTAAAAAAGTATTATTTATTTCACGGTTGAGATAATAATAGAGAGGAGAAGTTTCTCAAGAATCAACTTCGATTTTCAACACTAATAATTTTGTATTTTATTTAGGGTTAAATATTATAGGGGTCCTTATAAATATGTCAAATTCAATTTTAATTATTCTAAATTTTTTCATCAAACAATGGTTCTCACCAACTTTTTCGTTTATGAAATTGGCCCCTACCGTTTGTTTCTACTAACGGAGGGTTACGTGGCATGCCATGTAGAGAAAAACGCTGATATAGATGTCACATGTCAATTGTTCTCATTTTAAATTTTTTATATCAGCATCGTACCTAAACCTAAAATGGTAGCTAATCTGTAGCTAATTTCTAACTAATTTTCTATTATTCTTTTGTAGGGTGTTAGTGAGGACCCTAAAATTCCTACCTGAATTCACTCATGGTAAAACGAGTAACTAATTTTGTTAGTAAAACATATTATACATAATAGTTACGGTTGTAACAAATGAATAACTAATTTTGTTACTAAAACAGAATTATAAATAATAATCAGATGGAAGGGAGAGTGATTGGAGAGTGGCTTTCTCAAATCATCCAGTTTATTGTATACTCTGAATTCTTTTGAGAATTCTTATCTTCTTCCCTTGTACCAGTTGAACCTTCCATAATTCATATCATCTTTATTTTAATTGTTGACTCTGTCTTAACCCTTTATGCAGGAGAAGAAAGCTCTGAAGGAAGAAAAATTGAAACAAGAGGAGAAATACATATGGGCTACTGTCGACGGTGTTAAAGAGAAGGTTATTCTACACATTCTCGAAAACTAACTTATTCCACGATTTCAACATTGTTTTAAACCTCTTTAGCTTCCATTGAAGTATGAACATGGGGTATCTGACGACTGTTTTTTCCCAAATCTCCTTAACTACACGAGCACAGTCTGCATGGAAGTCCAAACTTTGAAGAACTGAATGGACCAGATCCAAAACCCATCTCCATATGAAGTGACATGGAGATGGGTTACTATGACATCGAGATTGGAGGTTGTTAGTGTTTTGTTAAATGCTGGTCATATCACTACTATTACAGTCAGTATAAGTGTCAGTCCCGTTGGACTTAGGAGGTCCTTTTTGTTATGTTTTCTTTTGGCTTCCTTCTATACTTTTCTTTTAAGTTTTATCTATGTGGCAAGGCCACTAGTCTTAATGGTGTCAAGATCTATGTAAAATATATTGGAAGCATATATATGTGAAGCAGTATGTTTTAATTAATTTAGTCTTGTTGTTTAAAAGTTTCAGATTTTTCGTATTTTTATTAGAGGTTTCATTAGAATTTCACTAATGGGACATAGGTTGTCTCACTCTGGACTCTGATTAAGCTTCACTTTATCTCTTATATGAAGCCTTTGATTATGACAGTATCATACTCAAGGAAAGTACAATTAAAAAGGGATTTCCTAAAAAGGACTTTCAAGTCTTATCTTTAAGTATCTTCTCACGTCCCATAATTACCAACTCTCTATTGCAAGTGTCGCTCTATTGTTGCATATGAAGTGGCCTTCATACAACAGATACTTTAAGGATAATTCCTATTTTAACCTCAAACTGATTTATTTCTATTATATATGTTTAGAGGAAAAAGAATATGGAAACAGACGAGAGAGAGAGAGAGAGAGAGAGAGAGAGAGAGAGAGAGAGAGAGAGAGAGAGAGTGTGTGTGTGTGTGTGTGTGTGTGTGTGTGTGTGTGTGTGTGTGTGTGTGTATGTGTCTTCGCAGATGCCAAATCTACAACACCATAACATAAATAGAGAAAAGAAAGTATTCTCAAATAAGACTTCAAATGTATATAATAAAATGTAAGAACCCACAATGCGTATTCAAATGTAGAGCTGCATTGTGTAAAAAAAGCACACTATGGGAGATCGCTACTATAAGAGGATCACACACTTGCACAACAACTTCTATGTCACAGGATCATAGAAAATTAGATTCTGAAATTATTAGCCACAACATCAGAGAACTTGTTAACAACGACGCTTTACTAAAATTCAAATTGATACAAGCTCATATTGCTGAAAAATAGGGTTATAGAATCTCATATCGGAAAGTTTGGATTGCAATGATTAAAGCTGTAGAATCACTTTATGGGAATTGAGAGACGTCTTATAATGACCTACCACAGTGGTTGTTGGTGATGAAGACATATCTTCCTGGAACTATTATACAGTTGGAAACATTGTTGATTATTACAGAGGATGGATCCTAATTGGGTGACAAACAGAAATTTCACCGACTTTTTTAGGCATTTGAACCGTGTATCCGTGGTTTTACTCACTGTAAACCGATTGTGCAAATTGACGGAACCTGGTTGTACGGAAAGTACAAAGGAACTTTGTTGATGGCTGCGGCACAAGATGGAAATGGTAACATTTTCCTGATAGCATTCGCATTGGTTGAAGGAGAGACAAAGGATGGTTGGAGTTTCTTTCTCAGGAATTTGAGAATGAACGTGACCCCCCAAGCCAATCTTTGTCTAATATTCGACCGACATCCATCAATCAAGAGTGCTTACGATGATGCTGAAAATGGGTGGCAGTTTCCTCCATCTTCACATGTTTACTATATCAGACACATTGCGCAAAATTTCATGCGTGAATTCAGAGACAAAGAACTACGGAAAACAGTTGTCAGCATGGGCATGTCTACATCTTCACGAGTTGATGTTTCAATTTTTATTTATTGATTTTCATATGTTTTACTGAACATTTTTTTTAAACATTTCATCTATAGGATATGCACTAACAGAGGCAACATTTAACTACTACAGGGGCGAAATACGAAGAACAAATAGAGCAGCTTTGGAGTGGATAAGCAATATTCCCAGAGAGAAGTGGTCGAGGGCGTTCGACGGAGGACATCGGTGGGGACACGTGACAACAAATTTGGCCGAAGCTATGAACTTGGTACTTAAGGCTACCTGAAACCTTCCTATTACAGCATTGGTCAAGTTAACGTTCTATTGTCTGGGATCGCTGTTTGGAAAACGAGGACACGATTGGACAAAACTATTGGCATCCGGTCAAACTTTCACGAAAAACTGTAACCAGGGGATGGCCGACGAAGCGATTAAATCTAGCAGCCATAATGTCATTCAATTTGATCGTGAGAGATTCTGTTTTATGGTTGCCAAAAGCATTAATCAACGCGATGGCCGATTAAATCAGGCATTTCATTTACGTTGCTCCCATGTAATCGCAGCATGTGCCAGTATACGACAGGACCATAACATGCACATACCATATATTTTCAAGGTTTTGAGTGTATTCAAAGTCTACAATGAAAGCTTCCTTGGACTTCCACACCAGCAAAATTGGCCAACATATGAAGGATTCACTCTTTGCCACGACGAGACAATGCGAAAGAATAAGAAAGGGCATCCAAATAGTACAAGAATTACAACTGAAATGGACGATTTTGAGAAAGAAAAGAAAAGATGTGGATTATGTCGAGAAATTGGTCATATGCGTAGAAAATGTCCGAACATGGTAGACCCGTCAAATCGGCCCGTCTAAATTATTTTATTTGTTTTTCAAATTATTTTCCAAATTATTTCTTAATTTGTAATGTCTAATATATAAGTTATTAATATGTTAAATTATGTAGTGAATTTTTAATATTTAAATGATAATGTCTATTATTTTATATAATTTAATTAGTTAAATAATTAATTAGATAATTTGAAAAATATTTAATAATATTAAAAAATTATTTAAATTAATTAAATTATTTATTTATTAATATTTTAAATTATATAATAAATTTTAATAATTAAAAAACAATTTAATATATAAAATAATATATATATATATATATATATATTATATTATATTTCTTTTTAAAATAAAATAAAAAAACAAAAAACAAATTCGTAGAATAGGGTCGGCCATCCATTGGCCGAATCCCAACATGACTTTTTCCACTTCATTGGGCCGTCCTTTGGATAAACGAACCCAAACTAAAAAAAAATGGTATTTTAGAATTTTTTTTTTCCAAGTAGTGGCATTTTAGTGTTTCACATTTCAAACCGTGACAATTGTGTGAAAAAGTCTCCCATTGAATTATATCAAAGTAAATTGTTGCTATGATAATTTAATATTTTAGGCCAATACTTTGTGCTCATGATAATACTTGATGTTGGGTAGGAAATATCTTCCATAAATGACCGGAATAAAAATGTTAGTAAAATATACATATGTAGTGATGAACTATGTAAATAAATTTGAAAATTTTCTACCCAATTTTAAAATTTATAGAAACTTATGAAATTAATTTTTTTTTGATAAAATAAATTATGAAAGGGTTTAAATTGAATATTTGTAAATTATAGGGTGTGAGAGACATGGGATGGGTGGAAGATAAAACTATGAGAAAAGAAAGCCCATTTGATATTAGCGAGGAATTTTCCTGCCCGCTTGACACCTCACTTTTTTTATAATGACATAAATATTTTTGTTAAAATAAAATCATATTTTTTTCTGAATAAACTGGTTGTGTAATTCAAAAAGTATATTTTGAAATTTTTAAAAAGAAGTTATAGTTTTTTAAAAAATTTAATAGTGTATTTTAAAAAATTCGATAAAAATACAATTTTTTTAAAATCTGATAGTATATTCCGATAATCTAATAAAAATTCATAGATTTTTTTTAAAATTTTGGTAAGAACCCATAAATTTTTTTAAAAATCCGATGAAAACTCATGCATTTTTTAAACATCTAGTAATATATTTGAAAAATACGATAAAAATTTATAGGATTTTAAAAAATTCAATAGTTCAAATCCAATTTTTTTCTTAAAATTCAATAAAAACTCATAAATTAAAAAAAAATCTAATAAAAACTCAAAAAAAATTCAAAAAACCGAAAAATACAATTTTTAGAAAACATAACAAATCACAAAAGATATTATTATGAAAAAACATAGGGTATGAGGGTGTTCTTGTAAAAAGATATTATTTAGGGGGTTGATTGAAAGATCCTTATTGGGCTTGGCTTGTGTCTGTTCTTGTAAAAAGACATTTCCACGTTAAGTTAGGATAACCATAAAAAATCGTGGCAGACGCTGCTGATTCATCTCACACTTTAGAATCAGTCTCTCTCGTGTTCGAAATTCTTCCTTCCTGGTAGCATCTCTCTTTCCCTCTTTCAATTCTCACTCATTTCTTTCATTTTTGTCAAGTATCATATTTTAGCTTCGTCATCGCATTGAATGCATGGGAAGTGTTTGTATAATTGCCAAGGAGAATAAACAAACCATGTTTATTTTTGATTTGTAAATGCATCATTACATTACATAATCCTTCAACTCAACCATGACCACACTACTGAATACAGTGTCTTCAATTTCAAATTTACCCTTAATGCCAAAACGAAACAGTTGCAGTTTCTTAGATACCCGTGTTCAAACTCCTAACAATCGCAGTTTCCCTTTCATGAAAATTTGTTTTTCAAGAGTCTTGGCTTCGACCCATGAGAAAATTTGTTTTTCAAGAGATTGGCAGAAGGACTATAGAAGCAGGGAAGTTCGAGCCAATGATGCATTTCTTCATTTAGAGCACATGGTGGGTATGGGTCATAAACCTAAGGTAGCTCATGTAACTCAGCTTTTGTATGATCTTTGTAAGTTTGGTAAAGTTCGTAAATCTGTTAGGGTTATGGAGATTTTGGTAAGTTCGGGTATTACACCTGATGCTGAGTCATATACATATTTCGTCAATTATTTGTGTAGAAGAGGTAATGTTGGTTATGCAATGCAATTGGTTGAAATGATGGAAGCAAATGGTTATACAACTAATACCGTTACCTATAATGCTATGGTTAAAGGGCTTTGTAAGCATGGAAAATTGAATCAGAGTATGCAGATTTTAGATAGGTTGATAAAGAAGGGTCTTGTCCCAAATGAAGTTACATATTCAATCTTGCTTGAAGCTGCTTATAAGGAAAGGGGAGTACGTGAAGCCATGAAGCTGCTAGATGAGATAATTGCCAAGGGCGGTAAACCTACTTTGGTTAGCTACAATGTATTGTTGACTGGGTTGTGTAAGGAAGGTAGAACTGAAGAAGCTATTAAGCTTTTTAGAGAATTGCCTGCAAAAGGGTTTGAACCCAGTGTTGTGAGTCATAACATTTTGTTAAGAAATTTGTGCAATGAAGGGCGATGGGAGGAAGCATACAAGCTTTTAGCTGGGATGGATAGAGAGGGAAAGACTCCTTCTGCAGTTACTTACAACATACTGATCGCCTATCTTTCTATTGATGGAAAAATTGAACAGGCTTTCCAAGTTTTAGATGAAATGACAAAGGGTGGATTCAAGGTGAGTGCTAGTAGCTATAATCCAATTATTGCTCATCTCTGCAAGGATGGAAAGGTGGATCTTGTTGTTGAGTGTCTAGACCAAATGATTAATCGGCGTTTTCATCTTAATCCAGGAACGTACAATGCTATTGCCTTGCTTTGTGAGCAAGGGATGGTGAAGGAGGCTTTCTCAATATTTGATAACTTGGGTAAAAAACAAAACTACCCTATCCATATTTTCTTCCAAAATGTGATTTCATTCTTGTGTAACAAAAGGAATACATATTCGGCCTTTCAGATATTATATGAAATGACGATGCATGGATTTACACCAGATTCCTATACTTACTCGTCTTTGATAAAAGGATTGTGTAGGGAGGGAATGCATGATGAGGCTCTCGAGATATTTGGGATTTTGGAAGACTATGACTATTTGCCTCGTGTTAGTAACTATAATGCTCTTATTCTTGGATTTAGCAAATCTCAGAGAGTAGATTTGTCAATAGAGATACTTGAGATGATGGTCAACAAAGGATGTATGCCTAATGAGGCAACATATACCATTATTGTTGAAGGGCTTGCTTTTGAAGAAGAAATGGATTTAGCGGCTAACCTATTGAAAGAGTTACATTTGAAAGGGGTTTTGAGTCTAAGTACTGTCAAAAGACTTTCTATGCAACACAACTTCAAGAAGTTAACAGGATAGAGAGAGATATATACAATCAAAGTATATATAACAAAAGAATTTAAGTAGGGACTTTACCGCTTTCAGATATGAAATTAGTTTTCTCAGCTTTGAGTACTTGATTTCGTATTTAATGTTTATTGATTATTGAAACTAAGTTCCTGAATGCTTTAAATTTTGGTTGAATTTATAATTTATAGATGAATAGTGAAAGTTCTACAGAATAATTTGATGCTGACTGCGTTTACTCCCATGTTTTAAATTTAACACATCTTTTGTCAATTGGGGATTCATAGTTTTTTCAATAATTTTGTTATATGCATTTGCCATTGGTTTAATTGCTTCTTGGAATACAAATTTCTTGTTTGCATGCCAATCTCATTGCTATAAGAATATATGCTATTGGCATATCATTACACAGATATACCATTCAGTGCAATTACAAATGCTCAAATCTGGCAGATTATTAACCCTTGTTTTCCTTTACTGATAAGCGCATTCAAAATATCCTATAAGCACTTAATGCATACACATATAGATAACTTGATAAACTAGACCTCAGTGTGACTTAAAATGCTATTCAATTGTAAACAGCAGTACTATTTTTTGGACTTTGACGAAGGAGAGAGCTAATCGTATCGAGTGATTGCTATGCAGCAGAAATTGGCACAGGAGCAGAGGATCTTGACACCGAGTCACTGATTGTTCTGGAGTGTGTTTTCTGGTAGAGAGGCTGAATCTATTTTTTTAGGCAATAAAACGAAAGATTTGATTTTCTGCAGATGTTGATTAGACTGCTTACATTCTGAGATACAGTTAAGATATTAGTCGTCTGATATTAAGTGGACAGTTTGAATTGCTTGACTGCTGATTTTCTAACAGTTGGATATTCAAATCCATGTATCTGCCAACATTGAGCTGTTGGTCAATGGATGTGAACAACGTTTTGTACTTCATAATAAATCAAGGTGTATGAGCAGCAGAGGTGACAATTAAATCCATTAAGGCAAAATTCATTAAATCCATCCAAACCATGAAAAGCCTTTTTGGTTCTAAAAAAAACTGAAAAGACGTTTCCCCAAAAAACTTTTTTTTTTATAATTTAAACTTAATTTTTTTTATAATTTTAACTTAAATATTTTTTATTAAAAAATTAAAACCTTTTTTTATAATTAAAATATTAAAAAATTAAAACTTTTTCGTAATGAACTCCTGATGTTTGATGTTTGTCGTGTCATTTTATGTATCTTTTATTACTTTTCTTTCTTTGGGCATTTCATGTGCATGCTCGAGGTTGAGATGTGCTTGTGGTGGCCACAGCCCCACACTATTTTCCTCCCTCACTTCATTCTAAGTGTCATTACATATTTTCATATTCTTCATGTTTTCAAAAATGTTTCTTTGTTTCTTTATACCCTCTGCCTTTATTACTTTTCTTATTTCTGTACCTTAATTATTCCTCCATATAATGATTTGTCATATTTTCACATTTTTTACAGTTTTATCCTTCCGAAGGATTAGGTCCAGCCTTTTGGCCGCCGAGTCAATAGCCTTACCCCTTTAATGGATCAAACCCTGTTTAGCCTAGGTGTCCCGCCGTGGGCAAAATTGCTTTTATCCTAGTGTTAGGCCAAAAGAGTCGCCGTACTCTGTTTTAAGGTTTTCCGCCGTGGAATCCCTAATTTAACCCTATTTTAATTTTAATTAACATTTTTTTAACATAGAGATTGGAGTCTCTGAATAAACCTTGGCCACAGTCAAGACGTTTCTAACCTCCTTTTTGAGGGGAACTACAGTTACTCTGATTCCATTCCCGTAAGGATATGTAGGCACAAGATGCGATGTCTTACCGAGTAAACTTAGAATTAACCCCTAGGTCTTTTAAACCCTTAATCCTTTGTATATACCCTAAAGCAAAATAATTAATGAAATAAATAAAAAAAATAAACAAAAGGTTCCCGTAGAGTACTACGGAAGTTTAGGGTGCTAATACCTTCCCTAAATTTAACCAACCCCCGAACCTTAGATCTCTCTCTTTTAGGTTTTTCCTTTCTTTAACCTTTCCTTCGGATAAATCAAAGACCGGTTGTAAATGAATTAAGATTTAAGTTAATCAATAGCTTGACATCCAAATTTCACCGCAACAGAAAATGGCGACTTCACTGGGGAATGATGAATAACTGCTTGGGGATTATGCAAGTAAACTGCCCCAGGTCAAATGAATTGATAATTGCTTCAGCTGTCTGATTTGTGGAATCGACTGTTTTGCTGTATCCTCGGAGGGCGCCCCAGTCTGAGTCTTGAACAATTCTCTGGATAAACCAAATCTGAGAAGATATTGCCTTGAACAAATCTTGAACTGATTCTTTGACAGGATGTAAAAGGAACTTGCCCCTGATAAGATCACTTGACCAAGTTTCTCATTGTTTGAAAATTCCTTAGAGGAAAGCCAGTTTGCAAACAAAAATATTCATACAAACATGGTAATGCAAAGTTCATGCGATTTTTGAAAAATTATTATTGAAAGATGGAAAATACATGAGTCGTTAGTCAGAACACAACGGTTCAAGACGCTCAAAGTTTAAAACAAAGGTGTACTGCCAAAATAAATGATTCACAAAGATCTTTAGGAGTCAGGTTACGCAACCTTGCTGTAGTATACTTTCAAAATAACCTTGCTTCAATTAGGTCTTTTGAGGGTTGTAATGTGGCCTGGTTCACGGTTTATGAAACAAAAGATAAAGGCTCAAAATTTATTTGTACCCACCCAATCTACGTGATGATCTTCAGTCCTATGCTCAGTTAACTCATACTATGCATTCAGGTTCCCATAAGTTAGGGATTTCATTGATCGTAGCAATGATGACTCAGAAGTCAAAGGGACCTATGAAAAGGCAGCCACTACTCCCCTATAACATTTGATTGTTTTGACATTGAGGATTTTCAAGATAAGGATTTAAAAATCTCTTTGTATTATCCCTAAATTTTGCCTGAACTGTTTATTTTAGAGTTTACAGTCAGTGGGATGCCCCAGTTTTGCCTAAGTCTCCTTCATAGGTTTTGACTTAGCGGGCTTCTTTTGATTTTTTTTATATTATTTTTTTGTGTGAAGGAAAGTGACTGTTTGATTTTAATGATTACGGTGAACCATCATCGACCTTTTGATTAGAAAACATCTTCGACACTTGTTTGACGTGTGCGAAGGAAAATTTGTTAATGAAAGGTGTATCGTATGAACACACAACCAAGTTAACTAAGAACTACCCATCCCAAGGTTAAAATTGTGGGTTTTTTGTAACGAAAGAAACTCCAACTTCTAGGCCCGAAGGGGGTGACGAGGGATTAACTTCCTTATTTCTCCAGTGTTTAAATTCATCCATTTATATGCATTCTATCCATCCAACATATTTTAAGAATCCAATGGATTATTTTTATTTTCGTTAGATTTATTTTTTTTTAAAATAATTAAAAAACTATAATTTTTTTCCGAAAAAAATCGTTTTTTTTTCAAAATAAAAAACTGATTTGTTTTTCGAACACAAAATTTTTTCTCGAAAAAAAACGACTTTTTTTTTTGGAAAAAAAATCGATATTTTTCAAAAATTAAAATATCAAATTTTTTTTTGAAAATACAAAAAATTCAGTTTTTTTAATGAATATAATAAAAAATAATTTTTTTAAAAATACAAAAAATAAATTTTTCAAAAATAAAATAAAATCAAGTTTTTAAAAATAAAAAATATATTTATTTTTACGAAATAAAAAAAAAAGTTGGATGGATGGATATCCATCCATTAAAAATATGTTAATGGATGGATTAGATGAATTTTATTCTTAATGGATGGATTGTTAATGGACTAATGGATTGTTTTAATCCATCCATTAACAATCCAATTCATATCCATCCAATCTATTGATCGCGACTTTCTATGTCTAATACAACCTAACTGCAAGTGCACAGTCTATCGCGTAGTAATAATAGATATCGATTCCACAGGGACTCGTAATCAAACTAGTGTTCTCGGAAGTTACTATGTTTAGCTAGGTAGATAATGTTTAAGGGAATAAGATTGTCACTAAAGGGAACTAAGAATGTTAATTAAATTATAATTAAGTGAATCGATATGCAGTAATTATGTTCTTCGGGGATTTGACAAGTTACCGGTATATGAAATATTTTTCAGAGCTTATTTAAGCAGAAAATAGTGATCTGAAGACTCTCGTCTCACGATGGTTATTGACGCTAATCATAATTCTAAGGGCCAAACGTACGCTTTCGTGTCCCATTCGGGGTTAAAACTATTTTTTGGAAATCTCTAAGTTCTAATTCATTTTAAAGTGCTTTCGCTGTTATTAAAACGAATGACTAGTATTTACTATCTAGTCTTGCCGCAACTTTCGCTTGTTGGTTCGTACCTTAATTAATTTCTCACTTTCGTGGCAAAACTACTTTTAAATAAGTTCTCGCTTTCGCGACGAAGTTTATTCAGTAAATTAATTTAAACACTCAGACCATAAACAACTTTTGAAAAAGATAGTTTTCAACCGGTTATTATCAAATCCCTTTCGAATTATTATTACATATCGATTACTTTGATTTAGCTAGACATGGATTCGAGAAAGGTAAAACATAAATAAAAACAATAGATAATAGCATGCATCATAATAAAAACTGGAATTACGATTAAAATGAGAAACCTGTAAATATTCCAATTGACCTTTGGGCAGATCCTCCACAAATGTTGGCAGGATTCTGGTCTTTGTGCCAATTGATCGTACACGGTAAATAAGAATTACAGAATATCAAAGGAATGCAGAAAAAGAAAGGAGAAACAAATAAGAATAGAAAAACTGGAAAGGTTGCTCTGAAAATAAATTGGCAGCACTTCGTTGTCTGAATGCGGCCCCCTTCTGAGTTCCCCTTCTTCCCTTTTTATAGAAATGGAATTCTAACGGTTATCACTAGAAGAAGGTGGACTTTGAGGCAGAATTATCAGGGAGTAGTGGTCCACTATTTGAGA